CTTGACAAATTTATATTGGTTCGCAGGATCGCCTCGCGGCACGAACGCGGTAAACGATTTTATTCGAATTTATTTCGCGGACGGCGCAAGCAAATGGCGATCCTACCGGCTGCGCCAGTCAAGTTAACGGGAGCGGTGGAGGCGTTTTTAAAAACTAAAATAAAACTAAGAGATGTCCGTACAGAAGCTCATGTAATTCAACAATGGCAAACTTATTCTAATACATCTTTCATGCAGACTTTATTACATTTGCTTACTCAAGTGAAACGATATAGGCCACACACAGGGTGCAAAGTCAGCAATAGTATTTATGCACGTACTTGTATCACTCTGTGTGGGGTCGAATCCATGACTATCTTAAGGTACACAATAACACAACAACATAAGATAATATTCTCAAGTAATGATGTAGAAAAAATTTGATGATAATATACTTACCATTACCATTAGTCAGTATCAAAAGTCAAAAGTTATAGTTTTTGTGATAGTTGCCTAGCTTGGCAGGAGAATTGGCAACTACAGTTATTTGGAGACAAACTGTGTGGGAGGCCTATGTTCAGCTGTGGAGGACATAACTATGTTAGGCTGTAAATGTATTAATTAACAATATCTAAAGCTTAATATGTACATAATTTTTTTAAATGTTTGGTATGAGTAATATTATCATTACATTTACATATACTTGCTATTTAATTAAATCAATTGATATTGTATTAATTGTTATAGGTATTGTATTTATGCACAGATACCCATACTTGATTTTTTTTGTTAAATGCCTTGATATAAAAGTGTGCTATATATTTAATATATTAATTTATTTTAAATATATTATTTCACAGCTTTTCTAAGGAATCAGCTATCCGTAACTGTTGGATAATCGCTACTGGTAGTAATTATAGGTAACCAATAAAACTTAGCAGTATATGCTCAAAACATTGTGAGCCTCATTGTTTTAGGTGGACTAAATATACTTAACTTATGTAATTTATAATATAATTAAGATATTTTTTTTTAAATGTTATAATTTCTTGTTTTATCTTGTTGTTTCTCCATAAGTGATATAAGTTTGACCTTGTTAGTAGTTATGATTTTTGACATTGTTCTGTATGTATTAAAAATTGACTAGCACTGCTTATTTTATTTTCAAATGCTGACATTCTGTATTACTCGTATTAAGAGTTGTAATAATTTGGTTGCATGACAATGACAATATATTTACTTATGATGGATTGATTAAACATGAGTCCTCATTTACAAATGTTGGAACTTTATCTGTACTACCATGTTTTATGCAAATAAAGATTTAAATAAAAGAAATAAATGACTAATTTAAAGTCCTGACCTAAATATACAAATGAATAATTTATTATGCAATAATAATTGTAAAACTGACTGGGAATGCCTACCAATGGGACATTTAGTCCACCCTTAATCCCTTTTATAAAGGTGTTATAAACAATAATGTGTAAATAAATTAAGAAATAAATGTAATAATTATGATAATTTCTATTTAATGGTCATAAATAATGTAATAAAGATATTTTTGACAAGAGATAAGTATTACCTATCTAAGTATAATTTAGGAGTTGTACATTATTATTTATACCATTTTTATATATATATATATATATATATATATATATATATATATATATATATATATATATATATATATATATTGTTACGAGCTTGGGGTTCGAGACAATTAAAAACTGCCGATTGAATTACCAAAATTGACACTAATTACACAACACTAATTACAATCTAAAATCACACTAATAATAAAACCCAGTTCGCCGTTATTTCGCTTCGAAATATTCTCTTGTATCGCCAATTCAATACTGCCCCGGTCGTGGTCTATACCGGCCTTATATAGGGCCTCAGATAGTTTCCCGAACCTTCTACTGTAGCGACATCTAGAATGTTCGAGTACATATCTTCTATTGAGTATTGAAATTTCTTCCAGCAGGCCTGATACTGGACAAATTAAAAGAGAAGCTGATCTATTGTGCACTCTCATAATAAAATTTTATAATATTAATATACTTAACATAAAGTAAAGATAATAAAAACAAATTAATGTGATGAAAAATTAATAAATATTTGTATGTTTATTTTAATGTTATTGAATTATATTTAATATATAATTGTGTTTTCATGTTTTACTTAATGTAACATTGTTAATATTTCCAAATATTGTGTAAGTACACAAAATTTAGTTCTTTTTCCTTTTTAAATTTCAATATAATTATTTTCATTTCGGTATTATAAACAATAATGTGTAAATAAATTAAGAAATAAATATAATATGTAATTATGATAATTTCCATTTAATTGACATAAATAATGTAATAAAGATGTTTTGACAAGCGACAGGTATTACCTATCTAAGTATAGTTTAGGAGTTGTACCTTATTATTTATACCACTAAAATATATTTTATACAAGGCATATAATATATATACTCCTTTCTAATCCGATTCTAACAACCAGCACCCAAGAATTTCTGCCATGCAAAGTATAAATCAAGTTTATAAATGCATATTTTTGAGAAATTCTAAAGCTACTCAAACCAAGAATTACAACGAATGCTCTAGAAAGAAGACAAAAATTTTGTTAAATTTGTTTATTAATGTGATGAAAAATTAATAAATAATCCTTTGTTTATTTTAATGTTATTGAATTATATTTAATATATAATTGTGTTTTCATTTGTTTTACTTAATGTAACATTGTTAATATTTCTAAATGTTGTGTAAGTACACAAAATTTAGTTCTTTTTCCTTTTTATATTTCTATAATATATTTTCATTTGAATAGAATATATATCTTTACAGTCTATCAAAAGTCTACTGTTGAACATAAACATGATTATAGTTATTTGACATAGTTTTAACGCTTGGAAAGCGGGTTGTCAACCACTGTTTTTTTTTATTTAGCTGTTATCAGGAAGATGCTGCTGTTTATCTTCTTTGATGTTTCCCTATGTCGCCTCATACACCACCCATGGAATAATATGAGGTAGCAGATAATCTTACACTGCATGGTAAATTAAAATAGAATATTATAAAACATTCGTTTTTATTTTATATACCAACATATTACAAAAACAAACCCTATGTTGATGCTTTACAACGTATATTAACTAAAACATTTTACCACCTTAACCATTAGGTAACATGATTAAGCCACCATAAGTAAGTCACCTAAAAAAGGCTTTCCCTAGATATCCTCATAGGATGACTTTTACCATAGTTGCCACGCCTGCGTGAAAATATGCGTTATGCTGGTTGGCCACCGCAGTTATTTATTATTTTAAGTTTTCATCGGGAAAGTGCTGCTGCCCCATCCTCATCTTGTATTATTGCTTACGACGCGGGGTAATATCATTCCGTGTACAGACAAATTCTCTTGTATGCCACAACTTGCCGCACACAAGACACTAACTTAGCAAAACATGCAGGAAATCCCGGAGTAGCCTCTTTACCGTGTTTTGTACTACAAAACTTAAGTGGAAAGCCTTTCCTTTCGGAGGTTTGTGTTCAGCACTGAACTTGTGATGGAATGGTATGTTAAAACATTATTGATTTTTTTTTTGTAAAAACAAAACTCGACACGAGGAAATTTTTGTTTATTATTTAATATTTTTATTCTTAATTAATATTTAAGTACATACATAACATATTGTTATTTATTAGCAATATCACACTTTGTGCTAGTAGCGTCTTCACTTAGTGCCGTCGAATTCCAAAGAGTTTATTGAACTGTGAATATAAATAAACCCATAACGGGGGAAATGGAACAATATCTGGTAATCCAGTGAAAGTACCTCCCGCCTATTTCTATCTCAAAAGCATACACGAATGCTTTATCTAGTCAATCCTCTATCTACGTGACGAAATGAGGGAAGTTTCTGTAGCGCTTTCATAGATGCCGTTGGTATTATAAATTTCCGTAGAATACACTAGATGGCGCTATCACTAGGTCTATGCACTGGATTCGGTATTATTTTGTACATTTAAAAAAAAATTAAAAGATTATTAAATTGAAACAAACTAATATACTTTAGATTACTTTATTTTTTATTTCGTTTCAAATAATGTGCCCTAGCCTGTGCTTTTACAGGGTCGCTTTGGTCGAAATTTACAATTTTCCCTTTTAGTAATTGGTTCACACCCTTACACCAACTGTGAACGACAATATTGATTGCTACATTTACAATAAATTTTATAAGCACAGCCTTATGTTCCCCACAAGTAATCATATTAAAATTAATGTCCATGTCTACGAAAGACACGATCTTTTCCTTTAATTTCTTTTCTTGTGGCGAATCTCTCAAACATAATATAATTATTTCGTAAATTTTTCTTGTTAGTTCTATAAATTCTTCTTTTGTGTATATTAACGATTTTTTTGTGTAGTCCCTATAGTAGGTGTATGTCGCAGGGTCTATTTTATCATTAAAAAATATATTTTTGCATACTTGGCAGGATTTAAAAATTTTTGTTTGGCATCTTTTAATTATGTACCCTGCGACATATCGTTTCGATTCATTGTGTATTATATTATGTTGATCTTCATCACAAGCCTTATTCCATTTTTCTATTAATAAGTCACTATTAAAATTAATATTTTCCTCTTGTGAAACACTGTCTGTTGTACTTTTTAAAAGATATGATAATGATTGTGTTCGCGACGGTTTAAAGACTTTAAGCAAAAAGTGATGAAAGAATATTAGGCCCTGTCCGCACTGCGATATTTCACCGCGCGATTTCTTTCTCGCAATTCTGTAACACATAGAATCTTATAGGAGTAACCGCACTGGCGGCAAAAAAATCGCGCGGGAAATAAATCTGTGATTTGATGCAAATTGAACGCGAAGCGGTGCGATTTATTTCCGCGCGAATATTTTGTGCAGTATATAGTAGTTATGGCTATGGCCGCACTGCGAAATAAAATCCGCGCGTTTCGCTCAGTCGTGTACTGGCGCTATTGGCAGGATGTCGCGCGCTTCGTCTCCCGCCCGATCGGGAGCCGCAGAGGAGTTAGAAAATGACGACATTGATATTGAGCAATTAATCACGTTGATGCACAGGAGACCTCCCCTGTGGGACAAATTTAATCCAAAGTACCACGACAGAATATTGAAGGCGAGATTGTGGGAGGAAATATATCAAGACATATATTTTAGTTGGGAACAATGCAGTGTTGTTGAAAAAAAACAAAAAGGTAAATATAAAGTATTTTTTTTTAATTTAATGACGTTTACAAATTAAATATTTTTATTTATAACCTTTGATTATATACCTACATGTCTAGATTGAGCAATGCAAACAAACTTCGCGCAAAAACCGGCCCGAATTACGTGATATGTGGAGTACCGCTCGTGTACTTATTGTAGTCAAACTGTCAAGATGTGCGTGTTTAGGGATACTTGCTCCAAATTATTAACTTAACTTTTCCCCATTATTTAATAAGGTGTAGTTTAAACAAAATAGGTTAAATAAAGTAACTATTTCGTAGATTAGTGTTTTATTTAATTTAGTAAAAACAAAAAATATAAACATAATTACAAATATTTTTCTTTTAATTTTTTTAAACAAACAAAATCTTATAAGTACTACTGCATCTTTTTATGATTTACAAAGATAAATAAATAAATATTAAAATAAAATATTTTTATTCATTAACAAAATGTTTAAAAATTACAAAAAGATGTAATGATATTTATAATGTGTCTCCCATAGTTTCGCTGTTTCCCTTATATTAAACTGGCAACACAAGCTAATCAGACTAACCTAAACAGTAACGAATTAAAAAACTGTGTTTTCTTAAAATAAAGTAGTTAAATAATATAATTTACTTCTTTACTTCCCACGTAATTGCGATACAATTTGATAGCACAAACCGGCATAATTAATTATTTTTCGTGAGCTTATTATCCATAGGTGACTCAAATGACACTGGCGTAGGTGAGAAGCGAGTCTACCAATAATTATAGTAGACTTTTTTCGAGCCGTTCGGTACGGTCAATGTGTCCATCTAGACATGTATATAATCAAAGATTTTTTGTTGGTCTGTAGTTTTAGTAGTTTACCTATAATACGGGTAGACGTTTATATTTTATATTTTTTCATATTGCCATGGAATTGACCCTTTCGGTGAATCAAAATATTCTGCAAAATATTGTCTATTTTCAATGCTGGATATTCTAGATCTCACAGGAGTAGGGCGCAAACTTTGTAACTCGGTCCCATACAATTTGTCCTTAAACCGAATTCCATCATGTTTGCGTACGTAATTATGTAAAATGCAACATGCTTTAATTATTTGGTCACAAGTTGTTAGTTTTACATCTAAAGCCCGATGTAAAATTCTCCATTTATTAGTAAGTATGCCAAAAGTGCATTCTACAAATCTTCTTGCTAGTGTGAGTCTGTAATTAAAAACTCTTTGAGTTACAGATAGGTTTCTTCTGGGGTATGGTCGCATTATGTGTTCTGAGAGAGCGAACGCTTCATCTCCAACAAAAACATAAGGCATGTTTTCTCCATTTTCTTCTTTTGGTAGGTAAGTTGGTGATGGAAGTATTAACTGACTACCTTCAAGCTTCTTTCCAAATGCAGAATTTTTAAAAACGGTAGAGTCACTACTGCTGCCGTAAGCACCTATGTCAACACTGATGAAATAATAATTTGCATCAGCCACCGCCATTAAAACTAAGGAATGATATTGTTTATAATTATAAAATTCAGAACCGCGCCATTAGGCTTTTCGCACCTTATATTATGCTTTCCATCCACCGCTCCCAAGCAATGTGGAAAATGGGTTCTTTTATAGAAAAGTTCGGCAGTATGGGACCAAGTTCTTTCATCTGGTTCTAGCATGTATAAAGATTGTAAACAAGACCATAGTCTTTCACACGTGTCTTCTATAATTTCACCAATTGTAGAGATACCAATTAGATATTCGTAATATAGCGAATAGTAGCTATTTCCTGAAGCCAAGTACCTGCAATAATTACAAAAAAATATGTAACACCAATAATATAAAATTCAAACAAATTATAGTTTATTATTTATCTACACAACAATTACCTTATTTTATTTTCTTTTACAGGAGCTGATGTGCAAAAAAAATGGAAAAATCTTAAAGATACATACTTCAAGGAGGTGGCAGCTGATAAAAAGGTAGTTTCGGGTCAAGCCGCAAAGAAAAAAAAAAGACCATACATACACATGGGAGCACTTTCATTTTTAGCCACTCAAAAATCAATGAGAGATACGACAAATAATATTAAAGACACAGAAAGCACTAACAGTAATGCCGAAGACCTTACAAATCAATCCGACGAAGATACTGACACAGAAGCTTCACGAAATAGAAGACTTAAAACGAGCATGCGTAAAAAGACTAAAATTCAGAATAATAGCGATGATGAGTTATTGAAATTATTGCAGGATAAAACTTATGATGAGGATGTTTCATTTTGTGAAATGATCATACCAATGCTCAAGAATCTCTCAACAGACCAGAAACATTACGCTAAAATTGAAATTCTGAATGCACTTAACAGAGCAACTAAATATTCACCACAAAATTTTATACCGCCTAGAGTCAGATCCGCTATGTCTCAATATCAATCATCATCATCATCGTATTCATCTTACAACCCAAATACGCCATCACCCTACCCAAATACTATCCGTCAATCTCCTTCTCCCCAAATTTACCAATACCCACCATCTTTTCCTCAATCTCCGCCTGATCCGTCTCCTCAAACACAATACACACCATCTCGTAATTCAACTGTCATTCCTCAATCTCCACCTGATCCGTCTCCTCAAACCCAATACACACCATCTCGTAATCCAACTGTCATTCCTCAAACTCCGCCTGATCCGTCTCCTCAAACCCAATACACACCATCTCGTAATTCAACTGTCATTCCTCAATCTCCGCCTGATCCATCTCCTCAAACCCAATACACACCATCTCGTAATTCAACTGTCATTCCTCAATCTCCGCCTGATCCGTCTCCTCAAACCCAATACACACCATCTCGTAATTCAACTGTCATTCCTCAATCTCCGCCTGATCCGTCTCCTCAATCCCAATACTCGCTGTCAAATTTTCCAAATACTTCATTTAATCATTCTACATTCGTAGTAGAGGGGAGTGGTTTTGACATGAAAGATTATATTTTATTTAAATAAAAGTTACATTGCTTATAAATAAATGATGCTGTATGATTAAACCTTGTTTTTATTTACCTCCGTCAGTTATTAAATATACTTTGGAATGTTACAATATCAAATGGGAGGGGGGGGGCTGGAGGGGGATAAATTAAGAGAACGTGAAAATTTAAAATAAATGGTATTATCAGCGCCAAAATGACAGAGATGCATTAAATACATCTAAGCATTTGATAAAAATCAAACTGAGCTCAAAGAAATTAGGGTGCACTTTCAATTGTTTCGAAGAAACAATCAAAAGAAAGGTGCTCTTTCTTTTAATAAGATTGACTTTTATAAAATGCTTAGATATATTTTAGCTTACACTGCTGTGCAGGCTGTACCTAGTACCTATAAGAATGGAACATCTTACCTTAGAGTTATCGAGAGTCTCTCTTCAGCTGAAATTGCTTTTCTCCAATTCGTATCTTGATAGGTAATAGCCCAACCAACTAGTCGTAGTAAATTATCGAATGATTTTGTAGTCATTCTGTAATATCCGAAAAACTTTTTATTATATTCTCGCAGCAATGATATTTTATGTAGAAAAATCCTTTCACAGGTCTCAAGGCCGTAAATGGGTGAATCCAATGTTCATGACATCTTACGATAGGTTTGTCACGCCGCCGCCGCCGTAGTATCAGGTAAATTAAAAATATTCTTTTATTCATTTTAGACGTTCGTCTCAATCGGGAACTGCATCGAACTGACAAAAATCGTACGAAATTTTATTCGCAGTGCGTAATAAGTGTAATTCCGATCACGGAATATAATACGCGAGAATAAAAATCGCGCGGTGAAATATCGCAGTGCGGACAGGGCCTTAATTTGTTTAAAAAGTGAAATTAGCAACAAAATCGAACAAATTGTGTATTAATATGGTTTTATAATATATTTACAACTCTTAATATACTTATATAGAATGTCGTTTTAATAATAGTTGATATAAACAACTTTAATCATTTAATAAAAATTCGACCAATCAAAGCGCAGCATATCGTGGAACTTTCTAGAAGTTTAATTAACTGCGCAATAGTTTATATGAAAATAATAAGAATATTTTTGTGTTCTGAAAGAGTTGTAAATATGATATTTAGTTAGCATATGGTGTATAGATTGCAATAGTAAAGAGATAATTTGTGTAAATAAACGCATTTGATAAATATAGTAAAATTAAAGATTTAATGTGCACATTTGTTATGAAAATTTGGTACATTTTGATTAATAACTTTTTTAAATGTAAATATATGGAGTAACCTTTATCACATACCGATAAAGGACCAAAATGCCTATTTAATAGTGTATAGCGTGTTAGTGTAAAAAATAGCCTTGTATAGAAAATATTGCGATTTGTGCTAATTACATAATGAAAATGTTTAAAAATAAAGAGACAAAACCGGAAAATGGCAAGCGGCTCTCTATACAGTATAGCCGAAGTCTACCTTATGGGGGCAAATCTCAGTAACGTTGTAGTAGGAAGAACTACCAGTAACAAGCAGTAGTAGCTGAAGTGACTAGTGGCAGAACACAGTGAAAATTTATAGTGAAATAGAAAAAGTTTAGCTAGCCGAAAAAGGTCGTAACTGAAAATCGCAGTTACACATAGTCGAAAAAAGTGGCAACTGAAAATTCTCAGTTGCATATAGTAAAATAGTGTTAGCTAGCTGAAAAAAGTGGTAACTGAAAATTCGCAGTTACATATAGTGAAAAAGTGTTAGCTAGCCGAAAAAAGTGGTAACGGAAATTTCGCCGTTACATATAGTGAAAAGTGTTAGCTAGACGGTAAAAGTGGTAACTGATATTCGCAGTTACACAAGTGTTAAATTCAACTAATTTTAGTTGATTAATAGCTGCTAGTCAGTAGTGTTAGAAAACCAGCTACTACCAATAGATATTTTGATACTACCAATAGATATTTGTTACTTCCAATAGATATTTGATATTACCAATAGATATATTTGAAAATACCAATATGAAATATGTTACTTCCAATAGATATTCGATATTACCAATAGATATTTGAAAATACGAATAGAAATTTTATTACCAATAGAAATTTTAATATTACCGCGTATTTTAATTAAATCTGTGTTTGAAATATATAGTGACCAACTAATAGTGAACAACCATAGTTGAACAACCGTGTTCAATAAATAAATAGTTATAAAATTTCGTGACTAATTAATCAGTCGAACCGCTGGCCACTCCCTTGCTGTTTTAATTTATAAATCGTGCATTTTTAATTCTGAACCTCAGTCCACAGTTCTCCAACAGCATACACAAAGGCGGTAGTGAAAGTATCCTCCGGAACCTATAGGTGTAGGACGTGAGCGACTTGCGGAGTATCTTCGACAACATTTACTCCGGAGAGTTACGCCCGTCCGGCACATTCGCTGGTCCTTCGAGCCGGATACTTCCGTTTATACTCCGAGCCGAGTCCAGCATTCGCTGGTCCTTCGAGCCGGATACTTCATCCGTTTGTATTTCGGAACCGCATACATAGTCACTACCGTATTAAAGTTGCAGAATTTTCAGAATCAAGATGTCGATCACTCGTTCGCAAGGAAGGGGAGCCATGGCGTGGACCGTCGGTCTGGAAGGAGGCCCGTCGGACAATACCGACGCCGTCCGCCACCAGATGCCACCACGCTCACCATCAACAACAGAGGGCGTTGAGGCGCCATCTTGCCCCTGCGATGGGGGGGTACTCCTGCCCGTGCCGGCCATTACAACCGATACACCGAAGCAGATGAAACAAATAGAGGGCAACGATGAAATTCGCTGTGCATCACCGCCAACAGTCCGGGAAGACTCCCGCACCGAAGAGCCACCGAGGGGCCACCGAGGGGCCACCGAGATAAAAGTACAAAGTCAAAGAGGACTATTCGGCCCAATAAAAAAGTTTTGAAGGCTCGTGAAGAAGTGCTGAGAATTAAATTGGAACTCGCACAAATTTCCCTACAAATGGCTGAAGAAGAAGATGATTCGGACGACTATGATGAAGATGGTCACTCTAAAAGCGAGTACGTCCGATCTTGGCTCGAAAATTCCGTAGCCAAGCAAAAGCCAACTCAAGGCGCCGCCACCGGAGGGGAGGCCCCACTTAATAAAACCGTCACAAGGCCACCCCCGGAGGTTGTCGACCTCAGTGAGCCGCAGAAGAAGCTCACAAACCAGGGTTCGAAGGTTGATGAAGACAGGGGGCTCCTACCAATTGTATCAGAGCCCACCTACCAGGATCACGATCCGGAAGATGTATCCAAGAATCCTGTGCCACAAAAAATTAGCCAGGACTCGAAGGTTGATGAAGACAGGGAGCTCCTACCAGTTGTATCAGAGCTCACCTACCAGGATCCCTATCCGGCAGATGTACCGAAGAATCCCTTGCCAACGAAGCCTAACCAGGCATCTGTCATTAATGAAGACAGAGGGCTCCGACCATTTATATCGGAGCTCACATCCGCTATAGCCGCACTCGCTGACAAACCAAAACCAGAGAGTGCATCGTCGCATACTTTCGCAGCGTCGAAAGCTATAATGACACTGCCGAGCTTTAGCGGAGCACATACCGAATGGCTTTCGTTCCGTGCCATTTACGAAACAACCCAAGGCTACTTCAATGATATCGAAAATACTGCAAGACTACGAAGAAGTCTACAAGGAAGAGCCTTGGAAACAGTTAGTTCAGAACTCATCGGACATGCTAAGCCGGATGAGATCATGCGAGAACTGGAGTTACAATTTGGGCGTCCAGACTCAATTGCACAAGCTGAAACCGAGAAGTTACGAGGATTGCCACGCTGTACAGAAGCGCCTAGAGATATCTGCACATTCGCGAGCAAAGTGAGGGGAAGCGTCGTCACTCTACGAGCACTCGAACGAGACCATTACCTCATCAACGCAGAGCTGCTACGACACCTCACAGACAAATTGCCAAATTCTATACGTGCACAGTGGTATAGTTTACACCGAAAAATACGACTCTAGACCAGACCTCGGTTCCTTCAGCGAGTTTATCACCGAACAAGCTCGCTTCTGCAGTGCATTTGCGCCCCCCGAAATTATAAACGGAGCGCAGAACAGTCGTTCAATACACAGAACGCACGCGGCTACCACTAAGCCGTCTCCGAAATACAGTGTGTGCCAAAAAGAGGGTCATTACGGATCCGACTGCAAAAAATTTAAAGAAGCAGATGTCGATAAAAAATGGGAAATTGCAAAACAAAGCAATTTATGTTTCCGCTGTTTGCGATACAGAAGTCAAACACACAAATGTAAAATCAATAAGTGTGGCATAAAAGGATGCACCGCGACACATAATAAACTTCTCCACCACGATAAAAAGGAGAAGACAGAGGTCACACAAAGAGAACCTCAGGAAACAGTTGCAAATTCATTCGCTGTGTCAAAACATCACGCCTATCTAAAAATAATCCCAGTTCGAGTAATTGGACCGGCGGGAGCTGTAAATACACACGCCCTGCTGGATGATGGGTCAACAGTCTCATTGATGGATGAGAAAATTGCCAAACAAATTGGAGCAACAGGGCGGTTGGACCCCTTTAAGATCACCGCCATCGGGAACAATACCTTCGATTCGCCGAACTCCCGAAGAGTAAAAGTTTCGCTCAAGAGTCTCCACAGGAAAAGGGTACAATTCAGAGCACGCACGGTCGCCAGCCTAAACTTGGGGCCACAGACTGTGTGTGCAGCAGATATAGAAAATTGTAAACATTTAAAAGACCTAAAGGAGCAACTAATATATGACTCCGGCAACCCAAGGATCTTAATAGGACAAGATAATTGGAGACTCCTGATAGCCACTCAAATTCGCAGAGGTCCGCCGCACCAACCAATCGCCTCGCTCACAGAATTAGGATGGGTGCTACACGGGGCACACACTAAAGCCCCGTATCAGCGCGTCCACGCGGCCAATGAGCTGCACACGAGCGAGGAAACCATAAAGGACCATACTAAAGTGG